CCACGGGATGAGGCAAGAAACTGGAATGCAAACAGGTCCAAGAAAGGGAGGAGAGGTTCACAGCAGGTCGCAGTACCCACACGTTACTATCTACACAGAGTATCAATAAACCAATTAACTGAGGTGGGCAGGACATCAAAGGCACAGTCCCTCTGCTGTCACCACTCTCCTGCATGTGGAGCGAACTCGCATGTGGAGCACCGCTGCACGTGGAGTGAACTCGCAGGGACTCTCAGACAAACCTGCCCTGTTTGAACGGGAAAACCCATCCTCCAAAATACCCGGGCAGAGGAGCAGTACCTTCCTGAGCAGCATCAGCTACGGAAAGCGGACCTTTGGTGGAGAGCAGGGCCGTGACACAGGAGCTAAGAACAACCCAAGAGCCTCCACACCCCCTCTCACCTTCCCCTTGCTCACGAAGGAGGGAGTAAGTCTAACCTGTTTCAGATTGTCGGCTAGAAAGACAAAGTACACGCAGCAGAAACCCAACTGAGTGATGATCAGGAAAAGTCCCACTACACGCCTAGAAAAGCAAAAAAGACCGTTTGTTAGCCAGGCCATACAGAAATAAGAGGCCACTTGGGTTGCTTGGGGCTGCACTTGAACACTGCAGCGATGCTGCTCTCCCCAGGGGTTGAGGCATGCAGGTCAGAGCACGCCCAGGTCACTTCTCCTCGATGCTCAAAGAAGAGGACTGTACCTCCATCTAACCTCGCAGACCTCAGGCTCTCTGATCTCCCCCTCCCATCCCCTCCACAGGGTCAGGACCAGCCTCAGGAGGAAAGTCACCCCCTTGGGTTTAGCATCTCCAGTCTACTGCTGAACTGTCACAGCTGGAGACAACGCTCCCCGGACACAGGAATAGGTGGATGTTCCCAGCATCTGATGTACGATGTGATCTGTATGCAACATCTGTACAACATGATGTGCGACATCCACAGGGTTGGTAGCATCCTTCGGAGGAGCCATTAGACATGGTCAGCGTCTAACAAGATGGGCCAGCACTGCAATACATGTTATTTATCCCTTTGTTATGCTGCAGAGACTTACTTTGCCCTCCCTTTCAGTATAAGCCACATCTGGTTGGGGACAGGACTGGGTCAAAGACCTCAACGTTACCCCCCAGGGACATCGAGCACTCGGGGCAGGTTAGCCAAATAACGTTTTATGTCACTTGTGCTCATCTGCCAACACAGCTCGGAGACCAGCCGGTTCTTCTGTCCCAGCTGCAGCACATGCTGGGCTTAAAGACAAGCATCCCCCCTGCCTGGAGCGGGGGAACAGGTACCTTCCCCAGATGGCATGTGTCCGCAGCCATGTGCTGGGAGTTGACTCCAGCCCGTACATCACGGCACCCCCGTAGTCCACAAACTGCTTCTGGAACCTGTTCGGAGAAGAGAGAGAGAGAAGGGACGTCACATCAGCCCCGTCGGTTGGTTCCCAAGGCAAACAATTACATTAATGGGAAAACAGTTCCTGTGAAAAAGCCCCAAAGCAGTTCCCGACTGAGGCTTCGACACAGGCAACTTGCTGCTGGGAGGCTTCAGAAAAACAACAGGGCTTGTTGGGAAGGAAGGAAGAGCCGTAGGAGCAGCAGTGCCGAGAAGGGGAGTTGCTCCTTACCTGTAGCAGAAGTGATGGGCACATTTTACCAGGATGCCCATGCAGTGCACAGCCACGACTCCCATCACCAGCAGGCTCACAGGACCCAGCTGCAGGGGAAGAGAGGGGGAAGGCTGCACTCTGATGGCCAAAGGCAGAGCTGCACGATGGGTTTTACTTCCAGACAAAACCCCACCGGCTCGGTGAGCCAGAACACCGCTGGAGGCTGAACCTGAGCTTGTGTGCTGCTCCCAGGAACCAGCCCCCCAAGACTGAGGATCCCCACAGAGAGCCACGAGCTTGGCAGGAATGATGCAAAAGCAGCAAGCTGGGGCAGTTTGGGTGTAGCAAAGCACTTCCAGGATAGTTTGAAAAACAATCTTGCACATTCCTATTATACAGGCGACAAAGAGGTCATGGTCTGGACAAAGAAAGGAAGTTTTCTTTTTTAATTATTTTTATTCTTCAGTCTGAGCAGCAGGAACGCTGCATTGCTGGGCGAGGAAACCCAGAGCAGAGCAGCGAGGTGCCCCCACCTCTCACACGGGCGGTGGTTGCTGGGGCATGATACAGACACCGAGGAGCTGAGCGTTGGGACAGGAGCCGGGGGGAGATATGACAGCGGCCAGGGGCGGCGGTTTGACCACCTCAGCCCTCAGGCAGCAAAATGGCATCACATCCACTGATCTCGACAGGGCCAGAGCTGCAAGGCTGGGCCAGCCCACATGAAACCCCACAGAGGGAAACATGCCGCCACCTCCCATCACCAGCCTTAACCACGGACCGATGGGGCTCGTTACATGCGTGCTGAGCTCGTAGGACCCTCAGGAGGCACACAGCATGCTCAGCACGGACCGTCCGGGACAAACCAAGGCGGAGGTCGTGCTGAATCTGCCACCCACAGGACCAGGGCAAGGAGATGCCGCCCGAGCAGAGCGTTTTCGGAGAAAGGGGCTGATGCCGCAGGGGCCAGGGAGGTAACACCCAGCTGGGTGAAGAGGCAGGGAACCGGCCCCCTGCCTGACCCCAGCAGAGGAAACCACAGCCCCGACTCGCACGCTGAACTCCTCAAGACCAGCCAGCACAACGCAGGAGCGGCAAGGACAGTCTCAGCAGCAAACGAAGCGAGCCACAGAGCCCAAGGTGCAAAAGCTTGCAAGCTGCCGAGCACTGAGAAGCATCTTGGCAGGGAGACAAGCCGCAGCACCCTGAGGCTGCTCTGCCCCATGGGCAGCAGCGGGGTGAGAGCCACCTTACCAGGATGCCGGCGTTCTTCACAGCCAGAGGCAGCCCCAGCAGCCCCGTGCCAATGTTACCCTTCAGGAGGTGGATCAGGGTCTGGTACCACCTGAGGGAGAGAACATGCAAAGATGACCGTCAGCAGACGCCCGCACCCAGACCTCGCATCATCTTGGCCTTCGACTCATCCTGCTCAGGGTCCAGGCACCGCTCTGAGCTGCAGTGGCAAATGCACACGGAGGTCCGGATCCTGTCCCGTAAACCCAGCTCAGCCCAGTGGGACCAAGGAAGGACTGGAGGCAAAGACTCAATGAACAGATTTTGGGTGAGCATTTGCAGAACCAGCTTCGAGGCAAAACCCAGCACAAGCACAGCTCAGCACCAAGGGGATGCACCACAAGAAAGTCTCCGAGTCGAAGGGATCAGTCTCCCTCGGGCAGAGACAGCATCCTCTGTCCACCTGGGTGAATAAGGCACGAGGAAGTCCCCAGGGCATGGCTGCAACATGCCCACATATCCTCTGAAGCTGGACATGCTGTTTGCTCGCCGTAGCTCCCCATCGAACCTAGCTGGAGGGGGGGAATATTGGGAAAAGCATCAAACGCTGCCTGCTGCTGGTGAGCCCAGCTTCACCGGAGAGCAGAGAGCCACGCTGGGGCAGCTGCTCACTTGGTGCCAGAACCCCACCGAGGCAGGACCACAGCTCTGCCCTCGCCACCCCCAGGAGGGATTCCCCATAAAACCACGGCTCCCCCATCCTCCAGCAAAGCCGGCAGGCAGCAGGGAGCCACTGTTACCTCCTCCACCCTCCCCGGGTGGTGGGCCAGCCGAGGAGGGAGGAAAGCGTCACTCACGTTGTCCCGTTGGTCTCCCCGAAGCGCTGGTAGGACTCGGGGTGGGCGAAGCCGTTCATGCCGCCGGGCGGGCTCCCCTCTGGCGTGACATCCGTGGAGCTGTAGTCGTTGTAGTCCTCGCTGCGGAGGCGCCGGGTGGACATGGTCCCTGTGGAGGGAGCAGCGTTAGGGGTGCCCAGCTCAACAGCCCCCATCTCAGACTCCTTGGGGTCAGCCATCGCACAGAGAGACTGGCTCGTACTGCCGGAGCAAGGTCTCCTCCAGGACTTTTATACAGCAACAAGCTCCCACCCAAGCAATCAAGAAACTGGCATGTCCTAAGGTCAAAGGTGCATGGCACGTTCCCACTGGCTCTCCCTGCAGTCTCGTGCTGCTGTTTTGGGCACACCCAGGCAGGACAGGCTCAGCATCCTGCAGGCAGAGCCTGGATGTGACCCGCCTTGTGCTGGGCGAGGGACCCATGTACTGCTGCTCAGGGGTGGTGAGGGTGGCACCACAGCCACACACTGGCAGTGTCCCCAGCCCTGGCGCTCAGGACTGGGGCCGTCAAAAGGATGGCCGGGAAAGAGCAACTGCTTTTAACCCAACACAGTTTGCTGCAAGGGAACGGCCTGCTCTTGCCAGGGAAGGGAAAGTTTCCTAACTTTTCTCTTTTTTTTTTTTTTCCTTAATTGAGGACTTTTTATTAAAAAAATAAAAAAAAATTGATTATGCTCCTTCAGGTGGGAGCACAGCCCACGTGCTGACAGCAAACCGCCCGTCCCAAAGGTTTCACAGCCATGGAGGTGCCTACGGCACTAAGGGTCTTCCCAGGATGAGGCACCTGCACAACCCGGAGCTCTTGCTCCAGCAAAAACCCCAGCAGGGTCCTGCAAGACAGGAGCAGTGGCACAAGCCCTCACCAAGGACACAAGCCTCCTGCCTTCGGCTGGAAAGAAGTCAGCTGGTTTAATTCCTACATGTGCCCTGAAGAGCTCCTGCTGCTTCTGCACAGCCTGCCGCTCCCCTCCCAAAAAAAGCCTTTTCTTCCTCCAGCCCCCCGGCCGCACCCAGCACCCCGAGCGCCCGCCGGCAAGGAGCGCCAGAGGCAGGGAAGTTTCCTTTCAGGCTCCTGCCACACAGCCTGGCAACTCAGTCCCTGCCCCAAGGCTCCTCTGGGGTGTCATGCCCCAGGCATCACCCCCACCCCAGCGGTCCCGGTCCTCCCCGTCCCACAGCGCTGGTGGGGAGCTGGGCCGGGGCCAAGCGGAAGCAGCAGAGAAATATCGCTACCGCAAACAGGCTCGTTTCCTGCCAGAGGGCTCCTCGGGCACCCGCCGGGTCACGCGAGCCTCTGCAGGATGCGGCCCCGGCACAGACCTAACCATTTGGCTGTGCAGGGAGAGCTCAGCCCAGGCTGCTCGGGTCCTGCTCCATCCCCAGAGCCCCCAGGCATTCCCCCCACCACCAGCACCGCTCTCTGCAAACCTGGCTGCTACGTGCCAAAACAAGCCAAGAGCTGCAATCGCTGGGAGGGTCCAGCCTTGCGACCAGAAGGGAAGTAGGGAGCAAGGGGGTTTGCTCAACTCTGGATGCTTGCTCCAGATCCCAGCTGCTCGGGAGCAGTTATGCAGGCCGCAACAACGCTCCTTTATTTCCTGCAGCACCAGGCAACACCAGCAGCAGAAAGCAGGGCCGGTCCGTCCCGCGCAATGCCAGCCTCCGGAGCAGTGGTTGAGTCCAGCCCAGGCAAGCCGGCATGCAGACAAGGCACTCCAGAGCTGAAGGCAGCACACGCATCGCTCCTGCCCAGCCTCCTCCCTCGCAGCCGGGCCACGTAATCATGCCCTGAACCGGCTCCGCCACAGGCAGGGCGATGCGGCGAGGCAGGGACCGGGAAGAGCAGCAGCATTAGTTTACACAAGGAAAGCGTTAGAAGCTGTTTGTCATCGGCGACGGGCCTGAGGGGCAGGGGAGAGACTTGGGAGGCTTTGCCAAGCACCAAGGGCTGGTAGTGGGCAAGGAGAGCAGGCAGAGGGGGTGCCGGGGTTGGGTTGGGCATGGATACCCCTCCCCAAAGATGGCCTGCACGTTATCTGAAGTACCCAACAGCGACGTCCTCCAGATAAAACACAACACTGTTACATCAGTCTGCCTGATCGCTTCCCATGATTTTTATTTTTTTTTTTTCCCCAAGCAGGCCCGGCTGCTTTTTGCTTTGAAGAGCCAGGGAAATGCGTTCATTGTGACTTGCCTTCTTTGTGTCTGGATTAAAGGTTGCATAGCAGCAGGGAGCGAGCACTCGGCTCCCCCGCAATCAACAAGAAGCTGCAAAACTTGTCTCATCCAGACGATGAATGTTTCAATTTGAAGCAAAACCCCACTACATCATTTCCTCGTCGTTACAAAGAGCAAAGACGGGAACAACCACATTCGGTTTCCACTTTAAACCCGACTCCTCAGCCGCTTTCATGTGCATTTTTTTTTCCCTCTACGCACACAAGCAATTTCATCGTGGTGAGCGAAGCGCCTAGGAAAGCTGGGGCAGGGATGTGACACCAGTTTGTACCTCAGAGTGACAGCCCCACGCCAGAAGTCAAAAGCAAGATGCAACTTGCTGCTGACCCTGACAGCTCTCCCCGGCTGAGCAGGGGCTGCATGCAGAACGGGCAACACGAAATCTTTTGGAAAAGTGAGCTGCACAGCAAAACTCACTGCCGCTTCCCATCACGCGTGTTGAATCCTTTATTTCCAAAGCGCCGCTTGTAACCCATCTCAGCGTGACACAAGGGAGAGCCGGCGCT